AGGACATTGTATCCTAATGATGCCAAAGGTTTTCTGAAGATTGCCACTGTTGCCATAAGTTGTGAGTTAGCCTTCCAAACCACTATTTGGGTAGTTTAGTCCCCTTTATAGAAAGATATAAACCATCCCACCTGCCTTGAACTGCATGATGGACAGAAAATGAGCATTTTTCATAGCATTACTCAACTTGTGGAGGTCAAACAAACTTTTACATTTGACGATCTGACAGTTATTTGACTTTTCCCCATGATTACCAATATTGACTGGATTGTATCTGTGTGTAACCTCCTTTTTACCCTCTTTATCCCCAAGATGACATCCACAAACTTCTAAAATCTTCCAGATGTTTTGAAAATGATCAGATGGCCACAATTCAGAGCATTATTCCATTTACAGTGTCTTCAGTAGTCCTCTAATATCCCATTTTGTGAAATTACAAAATGATCTGCACATTTTTTAAACTGAACAGTTCTAATTTACATTAAATGTCAATCAAAACAAAGAACAGAAATATCCTGATTGCATAAGTACCTAAACACTTTAACTCCACATTAATCACTACTTCAAAGTGTTACAATTGCAAGCTTTACAGCGAAAAGGTGAAAGATCTGAATACTTTTGCCTGACACTGCACATATTTATATTGGGCTTATTTACTGGCTCACACATTTCAACTGTGTTTAGCAGATTTTATCATTTTTTCTTTCAGTTGCATTATATCAAGGGTAGCAATAAATCTAGTGTGTTCTCCTCTTTCTTAAAAAGGGGAAATTAACATCTTACACTATTGGTCCTTCTTTCAGACTTCATTCCTTTAAACTTTTCAACACTTTAAAAGGTGTTTACTAGGAATGGTTAAGGCTGTAAAACTATTATCTTCTCCTCAACAGTTCTAAGCAGTGAACTAGGCAGAGGTATTCTCTACTGACAGACGCATGTACCTCTGGATTGCTTAGGCGGACATTTTCCTTTCCCCTTTATGGCACCTTTATCTTCATTATCAGGCTCTTCGTCCTGCACAGAAAATCAATACCGTAACTAGGAGAGAACTGTGATTTTGGTGATGTTTTTTGCTTCACAATTTGTGCAGGCTTTGAAAACTCACTTAAACTTGCTTACAAGTATTACAAATATCTTTTTGTAGTTAATATTAAAGTTAATATAACTGGCAATCTGTCGTATTACTGATGAGCATGATGCTGAAAAAATATGATTCCAACAGAAATATCCGAGAGGACTACGAGCAGTACTTCAGACTTACATCTTTCAAGTCTGCTTCAGAGCTTTCTTCACCTTCCTTTTCCTCACTCTGGTCCTTTGACTGTTTATCTTCACAAAACAGACAACAAACGATTCAATAAAACAGCCCATGCATTGGACACCATTCACAATTTACAGTATTCACATCAAATACATTTTTTTTTACTTGAAAACAACAGGGGGAAACCACCTAATTACAGTAGTTGCTCAATTGTGGAAACAATCACCTGCTTGCTGTGGGGTGGATGTCTGAGACTTGGGTTTCCTTCCACGGCGCCCAGGTCTCCGCTGCGGAGTTTTCTCTTCTTCATCCTTCTAAATGCAAAAAGAAACGGTTTTAAAGTATAAAGAAAGCTGTTCTCAAGATAAGTCATGTGAAACCTTAAAACTTCTCGCAAGTGTTCAACGAACCAACGATGCCTTTTCGTGGTCAAAACATTCTCAAAATAAACATTACACTTCTGATAGCATTTTTAAAAAAGTCTAATGCAATGCAATATGACAGAATATGTGGTGAATCATGGGTCTGCACAACCAAGCAATCTGAGCACTGTCTTCACTCATGTCTCCTGACATTCTGTACACCAAACTGCTCTGATGCTAAATAGCATACATCTAAATTAAAAATGTTGAAGACTTAGCATAAACACACAGAACAGAAGAGTAATTATCACAACATGCACAAGTTTCCAGCAGCAATCAATGTAATTAAGACAGAAAATCATCTACACTCACAACTGGCTACCTAAGCACCATCATGGAAGTCATTTTATTGTGCTGCCATCTGTTGGGCATTTTAAGCAAATGGCAGCATTGTTTTTGTTCTTATGTGAAGAACCACAGGCAGCATGGTGGCACAGGGGTTAGAATTGCTGCCTTGCAGTGCTGGGGCCCATCTGTGTGGACTTTATATTTTTTCCCTGTGTTTGTGTGGGTTTCCTTCAAGTGCTCCAGTTTTCTCCACAGTCCAAAGACATATTGGTAGGTTAATTCACACTAGGTATGTGTGTGTGTGTGCCCGTCTAGTGTGTACCCTGTGTTGTGTCAGTTGCATGCCAGGATAGGCTCCAGCTCCCCCACGACCATAAATTGGAAGAAGTGTTTAGAAAATGGATAAATAGAACCATTAATGCCATAATAAAGTTTAGAAATTTATAATTTCATATCTATGTTGCATTAAAGTTGGCCCTGCACAAGGAAATGGTAACATATTATTACAGGATGGTTAATATATTAATATTAGAAAACCATAACTAACGTATAATTGTTTTTTAGAGCTTTAATGATGCAATGTAGTTTTTAAAAAGAGAAAGGTCTGCATTATGTTTGTTTTTTTCCAGTGGGCAGAAAATGTTTTTATGCAGTTTCACTGTACAAAAACTTGTGGCTTAGTTCTTAGTTGTTACTGGCTCCATACGAAACACAGCAACATTGTGTCAATGTTTGAAATTACATTTTTAAAAGCTATCAATAAAGTTACAACTTTAAACAATAACACTAGCAGCAAAAATGTGATCATTTGACGTATGCTGCCATGTAAGAAAATTAGTAAATCGGTGATTAGCGATGTTCAGTATGTCTGATGTTGTCATTTTTTATATTACAATTCAAGTTAAATCTATTTGAATCACTAGATATTACTCAGTGAAAAGAATGGGTGAAATAAAATAATAGTAAAAAAAGAAACACTTGGGTAGAAATCATTAACATTTTAATAACACTGCCATTATGAATTCTTTAGTAATGATTGCACTAATAATGTTTGTAACATTTATTTAAAATGTCATGTCATAACATTCACCAAACTGCTTTATACAATACAGTGTCATGGGAAACCATAGCCTACCCAGCAATCAACGTGCGCAAGGCAGGGTACACCCTGAAAGGGGCACCAGTCCATCACAGAACAAGTGCAAGCCAATCATACATGGGGACAATTTGGAGGCCACGGTAAAGGCCGAGGGGGGAAATTTGGCCGGGACACAGGGATAATTCCCTATTCTTATCAAGAAATGCCCAGGGATCTTTAATTACCCCTGAAAGTCAGGACCTCGGTTTAACGTCTCATCCGAAAGACGGCGCCCACTACAGTAGTGTCCCCGCCACTATACTGGGGCATTATCATTATCATCATCATCATCATCATCATAATAGTTTACACTTATATAGCGCTTTTCTGGATACTCCACTCAAAGCGCTTTACAGGTAATGGGGACCCCCCTCCACCACCACCAATGTGCAGCCCCACCTGGATGATGCGACGGCAGCCATAGTGCGCCAGTACCCTCACCACACATCAGCTATCAGTGGGGAGGAGAGCAGAGTAATGAAGCCAATTCATAGATGGGGATTATTAGGAGGCCATGATTGGCAGGGTGGGCGACAGCAGCTGGTCCCACTAACACCACTTCCAGCAGCAACCATAGCTTCCCAGGAGGTCCCTCATCTAGGTACTGACTAGGCTCAACCCTACTTAGCTTCACTGGGTAGCTAGTTGAGAGCTGCAGGGTGATATGGCTGCTGGCTATTTAAAATTTAACAAAAATAATTGTTTGTGTTTGGAAACAAAATCATATTTTGTAAATATTTTATTTGTACATCAAAAAGTAAAACTGATAACTTTGACAAATGTGTTATGCAGCTTTTTTGAATCACTGTGGTCTCAGATTGTGAGAATGTGGATTACGTGATCAATACATCTGCTCCTCACTCCACTTATTTTCAAAGTCCCACTGCATGAAAATGCTCTTTGCTTTATAGAAACACTGCTAACAAAAAACAATTAAAAGCCATTTTAAACTTTTGTTCCCCACTCACACCTCAACGGGACAAAGGTATAAAAATGTAAACTTTCTTTCACCATTATATAAAAGATAAAAAATGATCTTACCTCATCTTGCTTTTCTTCAGAACTATTTTCTGTTTTTTCATCATCATCTTTCTTCTGCTCCTTACCTGTAAAAAAAGTCAAATGTTTAATGACAAACAGGTTAGCTTTTTTTGTTAACTGTGAATGAAACTTATGCAAGCCTGCAGCTCACATTTGCGAACAGGGACCTTAACACTTGAGCACGTTTTAAAAGAGCTAGGAAACCAACCTTTGTTAGCGTCTTTCAGCTGGGCAGCAGGACGTCTTCCTCTGCGAACAGGAGGCTTCTCAATCTTCGCTGGCTTCTTTCAAACGTAAAAGGAGCAGAGAGGTTTTATTTGAGATTTTTACCCTTCAATATTTAATGTTCCCATATTAGCGTCAAATAGATTTAAAAGAGTATTCATTAGAATGCAAGCAAAGGAAATGTCCCGGTGGTTTTGCAAGAATACATTCAACAGATGGAATTCAGTGCAAATGGTTCTTTAATGTAAATTTTTTAACCAACCTCTTCTGAATTCTCTCCTTCTTCCTCATCTACTTCTTGGGATGAAGTTCCTGGAATGAAAAGAAATTGAAATCAAAATGACTGCATATGTTTTTTGCAAATCATTTTAAATACCAAATATAAGAAATATTAACATAGTGCCCTTCCTCTTATCAGATCCACCCTCCTCCACTATGAAAAGGAGAAGCCCATATATTGAAGAATACTAAATCTTAATTTAGTGTCACACAAGCAATCCAGAGACTGGTTGGAATATTGATTTTGCACGCTGTCTTGTAGCACTCCAGATCTGAACTCTGCAGCCACTTCCTCAACACTGTGGATACTTCCCTGTGAATAATATCAAGGACAAAAACGATCCACTGACATCAGGGAAAGGCTGTGAGGTTGCCATAATTGAGCAATGATCTCTTTAGCTGGAAGACCATCAACTTCACCCTCTTCAGCTATAAAACGAACTTTGTGAGGGCTTTCTTTGCCTTTACGTTTAAAAGTAAATGAGTAGTACGGCCTATAAAAACCACGTACTTGTTTCCTTGAGAGGAGGGGCGTGGTTTCTTGACGACCTTCCTCTCCGCAGAACTTTTGGCTCTTTGACTGTCTCAGTTTCTTCTTCCTGAATTTTGTAAAGAGTTCATCATGAGGAATGCAGAAGGAACTAATTTATGATGAACAGTACAGAAAATAACTAACAGAATAAAATTTCCTCTAGATTTTTCAGGTTCCATTAATATCTAGGAAAATTTGAATAGATTTTAATTACAAAGGTAAACAACAAATAAGTGAACCATGAGTCTTCTTTGCTTCTTATAGCATGGATACGGAACTAGAGACACAGCATGCTAGTGGATAACACTGAAAACTAGGTTTTAAGTCACATACTCCTCTATTGTAAACTGCTGCTCCCAGACTCCTTTCCTATCTTTCCTTCTCTTCTTCTGCTCTCTTCTGACTGTTTTCCCTAAGTCTTTAACCAAGCCTCCATTAAACCCCTCAAACAAAAAAAAAACATGAATCTGTCATCCCTTCAGAACTACCATCCTTTGTCTTAATCGCTCAAGCTTGCTGTATAGTGCCAGCTCTCTGCTTCCCTACTGCAGCCCTCAATGCTTGACTATCTGCATTTCCGTTTTTTGCTGGCACTCTCAACAGAAACCACTCTTCTCTCCATTACTGGTTCTTTTCAGTCAGCGCATGCTGCTTCTGTATCCCTTGTCTTAATTACTCTTGTTTTCTTTGCCACCTTTGACACTGTGGATGAGTCTGTTCTACTCTCAACACTTGATAGCATAAGAATGTTTGGTGCTGCTCACATTTGATTCACTTCCTACCTCACTACCTCTCCACTGATGTGCCCCAGGGTTCTGTCCCTGACTACCCATTGCTCTTGATTCCTGGGACTTCACATTTCTTCCCACAGTTCTTCATATCTTTACATGAATGAATCAGAAGTCTTTTTCTCACAGCGACACTCTTGTTGCCTCTCATTTCTCTGGCTGTCTCAGCTGTCTCATATGCATCTCCTCCTGGATGCATTCCCATAATCTTAAACTCAGCCTTTCAATGTCTGAACTCTTTTTCCTTACCCCCACCCCCGCCCCCAACCTCAGTAGACCTTTTCCTCATCTGCTCCACTATACTGTCCCCCTCTTCGTTTGCCAAGAACCTCTTTTTCATTCTTGACCCTTGCCTCCCCAGCTCATCTTTGTTCCTGCTGCATCTTGAGCAACATAACATATTTCATGATGTTACTCTCCCACCTAGACTATGGTGATTACTTCTCAGCCATCTTTCCTGACAATCCAGAATTTTGCTGCTTATTTTTCTTTTCTCTTCCACATTTATTTCTTCTCCATTACCTCCCACTAGCTCCCCGTTGCTGCATAAAGTTGATTGAATACCCTAGTTCTGGTGAAGCTTTCTCTGTTCCTGCGGTTACATGGTTCTTTGGCCTCTTCTCTCACCATTATTTCTCTCTTTCCTCTTCCCTTAAGCTTTCTGCACTTCCTTTCCAATCTTTCGCTGCCAGAGCTTTTAGTTCACTCACTGGTAGAATGAACTTAGCACAGGAATAAAAACAGCTCATTCCCGGACCATCTCTTGACTTTGATGTGTAAACAGCTCCTGTGATGTCTCACATGTCACCAGTGTCCTTTAATGCTTCTTCTACCGTACTGAGTTACCTTTTAATTCGTAAATTGGTAACTTAACATGTTAACTATACTTACTGTAAACATAAAATAAACAGGGAACATACCTATGTGTGCTATCTGTAACTGTATACAGTTTTTATTTTTACAATTTAATTTGTTTCACTAGCATTAGTCAGGCAGTCTGTAGTAGCCTCACTGCTATTGTATTAATTAACCTTATTTTACCCCAATGATTGCTCCGTACTTTATGTTAATTTTGTGCACTGTACATTACCAAGGTAGTAAGGGTGTTTGGTAAGAAAATTAAATACGGAATTGTAATCCTGAAGTTCTTTTCAATAAACTTTGTCATATGCACAAAAAATAAGCTGTACATATTTCAGAAACATGGGAATTATGAACAAACTGCGCTTTTGTATGTTCCGGATCTAATATCTGCTCCCTTCCCCAAAGTTATAAGACCATGTAAAACAATGTAATGTTGTTACGACAGTCATAAGTACATTCAGTCACCAATATTTATTTTTAAAGTCACTTTAAATTCATTACTCACACTTTCAGATTTCTGATCTGTGCTCTGCACAGGACTCTCCTCTTCCTTACTTCTTTTACCTAAAAAAAGGTAGTTAAGTTTAAAAAGGTGACACTACATGCGAAACACTAAATATGTTTGTGTCAAATGAACCTACTTATTTCCCCGAGAGGAGTTAAAGCAGTCTGAGAGATTCTCCTTTTCTGCCTTTCGCCCTCGTGTACTTTTTCCAGTTTTTCCTCCTATTTGTACAAAGAAACAAAAACATTATTTCAATACTTCAAAGTTAATGACTAGAATATCCTGAAAGTACCAGAACATGTAAAAACAACCAAGTGAAGAAATGGAAATGCTGAATATTTAATAAAAACTTGACTGACTGAATATTGGTGAAATAAGTTAAATGTCTGCAAAGCACTGTCACAGATTAACATAAGGCATATCAAAGTTAGCTTTCTATATTTTAGAAGTAGTCATAGTCTCTGACACATTCACAGCTATTTTGGTGGTGACAAAATTGCCAGTCTAAAAAGAGGTTACTTACCTCCTCTGAGTTATCCAAGCCCTGTTCTTTATTTTCCTTTTCACTCTTTAATGGCTTGCCTTCAAGGTTAAATAAAAAAAAAGTCTGTAATCATTTTAGTGACTAAACATTTAACATTGAAAACTGAAAAAAAGAACTCCCTTCATGGTTCTGTTATGACAGTAACAATTTAATGGCTGAAAAACTCAACATGTGATAATATAACAGCCATGTTTAAATAAATTACTTCAAACTCCCGTATTTTCTAACGACAAGCATTTGGCTGCAGTGACGTTTTTTAACTACTCAAAATACAGAAGGAATCTGACACATACAATTACAGAAAGAAATTAAAAACTCAAACAAACAAATTAAAGCTTCCTGAAATACATACTTGCATCCTTCACTGGAGTGGATTTTTGACCGGTCTGCCTTCCTTTTCTAGGTGTTCTTCCTTCAGCCTTGTCCAATTTGTTTTCCTAAAAATGTAGAATAGATGAACAAACATCAAAACCAATTTTGTATCTAAACACAAATATTATTTACAGGGTGCTTCGGTAACAGTTTTAACTCCGGGAACAGACAAAGCTGTTTTGGACACCAAAACCAATTCAAATGTTTTTCACACTGAAAAAAAAGAAAAAGAAAAAAAAAAGGACTGTTCTTTTTCTGTGGTGTACATCTCATTGTTCTTTATCGTATAAGGATCCAAATAATGCATTCTGTAAAATATCTCAAGTTTGTTTTTTTCACTCCGATCGCTTATATAAACCAACAGTTTTAATAAGATAATAATTTTTATTGAAGTACAGAGTGAAAAATCAAGCAGGTATATATGAGACACCTGAAGTGTATTGAACCTTGATTTGCTCGATTAGCTTGATTAGATTTTATGAAGTCATTCAGTAAATGCTCCTACAAATCATTCTAAAAAAAATAAATAGTAAATCCTAGTACAAAAGGTTTCTATACCACAACCATGCTTTAGATAACCACAGCTTTGCTTATCCCCCACAAAACTCCATTCTCTGGGCTGTGAAAATTAAAAAAAGAATACTCACAGTCTCTGATTGTTCATCAGATGCTTCTTCTTCCTCCTTTTTAAGTGGTTTACCTGGATAATGACAATATAAATGCTACTATATTTTTGGCCAAAACTAATAATATCAAAGCAAACATTCACCTTTTTATCTTATTATGGGTGTTCATTAACGGATGGAGTACTTCACTTTTTCTATATTAACACTATAGAAAATCCTTAGTTGGGGGAAATAGTGGAGGAATTATACAGATAAATGGTCAGGTGCATATGGTGATTGTATACACATGTATATAATATTGTATAATAATCATACACATAAATGGTCAGGATCTGAGCACTTGCAACATTTATACAAAATTATACAGAAAATAAACAAAAAAAATCCCCCCAAAATATACAAAATGCTGTGCACACAAAGGCCTTATTTTGAATGTCAAGAAGTTAACTATTTGCCTTTGAGTGGCAGATCCAGCCATTAATTACCATCAACAATCTTGCAGTTGCAATGCCTTATAAATTAGTTTAAAGTAATGGTACAATAGAGACTTCCATGTGTACATTCGCTTTGATTACAAACCTAAAATAGGTAAGTGCCTTTTTTCTAACTTTGTCCTCCACAGCCACCTAATTTTCTGAGAACACCCTTAAATTTTCTTTTTCCATCATCTGCTCGCTCCAACTCCACTTGAGTGGATATGCCCTAACACTGACAGCCTTATTTTCTTTGTGGGCGATCTTCCCATTCCACTATAAATCAGTTAGACAGACAATTCTTTTAGGTTCATGAATTTTCAACAGCTGTTTTCTTTCCTTCTGTATCACCATTTCCCTATAGTTTCCCTATGCAAAAAGTCCTTCTAGCATTTATTTTTTTTCCCCAACTAAAAATGTATAATTATTTGCATTTGCTCTCATAGAGTATTTCTACTGGATTGCAGACCTGCAATATTCTTTCTTCTAACAGCACAAATGATCAACTACACATTTTCTAAAAAAGTAAGATGTTTTTCTTGGTGGCAATCCCATTTAACTGTTTCAGAGAGACTTGAGAGGATTAGCAACAAAATCAGAATTTATTATTGGGACACAAAGGTGGTAATATAATAAGAGTTTCATAATTCTAATGTTTTGTGTCATTACCATTCTGAGACAATTACATTATGCTCTTGTATAAGTGTGCAATTAAACATACTAGCTTCCTTTGAGAGTGCTGTAAGTTTTTTCGAAGGCCTTCCTCTTCGAGCTGGCTTTTTGTCATCAACATCTTCATCCTGGAATAAATTGCCACATCATACATTAATCCAAAAACCAGATGATTCATGACTTCAACCACCCTTCATTGTTTATCTTTTTGTAAATACATACATACATATATATACAGTGTATGGTTTTGAGTTGTGTATGGATGTGCTGTGACCTAAAAGTCAAAACTACATTTGTTCATAGGCGAGTTTTGTTTTTCTACAATTTATCACTATTAAGTACTTTACATTTTGATAAGAACATTTTGTTTCTACAGACACCTGTTTATCTTAACCAAAAAATAGCGTTAAGAGCCAATTTGTTTGCATATGTTTCATCTCTGAACAAGGACTGTTAGAGTCCAAATAAACGTGAAAAGTCACTTTGTGGAAATCTTTAAATTCCCTTTTTAAATCCACAAGACAAAGTTTGTCACTTTAATTTGTATTTGGACGTATTTCTGTATAAAGATTGATGATTGTCTTTATTTAGTACCAGAGTTCGAGATGTTTGATGAAAAGTCTTATTTTTTCAGACAAAAAGAGTGTCTATGTTTTAGGGTTGGACATGGAGACATGGAGACTGGATGAAGTTTTTTCGGCTCTGGAAGTCACATCTATTGTAGACAGTAGTGTGGAAATATTAGAGTTTTGTTTCTTGTATTTTGAGTTTAACATAAGCTATTAACTATTTATTAACAACAAAATTATTCATAGAAAAATGAAAGAATTCACACAAACTTGCTTGGTATTTCCTAACAAGTGGGAATATTTTATTGTATAACTTTCAGAATTTGCTTACTGTTATTTAACCTCTACAGTGACCTACTAGTAACACCCCCATTTGCAATAAGTATGTAGACAGACATATACATTTATGTACATACATTTTTTGGCATGGTTCATTTCCTGGAGCTAAGGCAGCATGCCAAAGGGAACTCATAAGTGGTTTTCATGTATAACTTAGCCAACATTTTTCCTGGTGTTCACAGAGACTATTAGATTTTCATGAAATATAAATAAGAAATACGATGGAATTTTTCTAAATGATCAAATAAGGCCTAAAAATGATGTTTACCAGAGAACCCAGAATATGACTAAGCTCTCAGACTATTGAAAATATTACACTTAGAATCACCAGATCTGTCAGAATATACAGGCATGTGTAGAGCCAAAAAACCCTGCTGCATATCAAATTTCTAAGTCAGGCTGTAGACCCCAAGTTATTCAAAGTATAGCATTAGATGTCTACAGACTGAACTGCTAGTGTTGCTACCTTCTTAATGGGCACAAAGTTTCAATTATATACCGGAGTGAGTAAACATTTGTTATTTTTAATGACAGCAATTGTAATCAGCTGCAAGTATTCTACAAAAGACTATTCGAACAATAAACTTAACTATAATTCTACAGTGCTACCAGGCTGACAATAACCAAAATAACTTACAAGTCCCGATGTATATGGCTTTTGTGCTTTCTCCTCATCCTCATCTTTCTGGGATGTTTTACCTTGAATTAAACACATGAAACAATTGTTTCTATTAGGTTAAAATGAATGTGAAAGCAGCTCAGAAGATTAGTGAAAGACAAACAGAGTACTCCCGCAATGTGCAACAAATTACTCACTTGTCTGTCTCGCTAGTTTGGGTTTTCTGCCCTTGCGAGTCCCTCTGGCTTCTTCAGACTGCCCAGAAGCTTCCTCCTTGGTTTAAAAGAGATTTTGATTTTGAAAAAGATTTTCAAAGGCTGAATGTAAGGAAGCACAGTACATTTAAACATTTAAATCTACAACGTTTTAGTTAGTACAATGAAAACTGAAAGGAAAATGCCACAGCCACACCGTTTTCATTTATTAAAGCTAGATATTTTACGGGAACAAGTGAGGTGAAATACAACAGCAGCACGCCGACTGGGAAGTGAATCTGCAACCATAATTCAATGGTTTATTACTTTAACTCTTCATCCTGTCCATGCATGCAGATAACTGCACAGCTGAATATTATGTTTAATACGCCTACAACAGATCCATAACCAAGAAATCTAAACTTATATAGCCCTTTGGCATAAAAATGTACTTATGGTCAATCTGTAAGTAAAACCCACCGAGTAGATTATGCTGTTCTAGCTCAAGCCTGATGTTTAGAATTCCACTGTGTAACTATTTAAATGTGAGATTTTTAGATATGTTCCAGCAAGGGTACTTGTACAAATTTGCAGAAAATAAACTGCAAGTCAAAATCAGAAAGGATTCAAAAAGCTTCAGTCCACCAGTCAAGCCTTGAGGAATCCGATACAGTTTTAACAGTGTATTATACTATATTTTAAATTTAGAAAGTACTAATTATACTTAAGACGCTAATGTAAACATCTCAAAATGGGAGGCTTAAGCCAAACAGTTGCCACCCAAAAAACATAATCAATTATATTAATTTGAAGACAGACACTGATGATTTACTGAGCACAAGAAGAAACTTTCAGCTTAAAACTGCATCACTCACAGTTATGAGGTGTTTTTCTCTTGCAGATAAACTGACACATTATTGAACAGGCATGACAGATGACTTTATTAAAGATTAACAATGGTCATCAATAGGGTTTCAATTGGTCTAAAGTAAGGCACAGACTATTATTGTGTATTCCCGAGACCTATGCATTGTAGAAAGTTTAAGATGGGGTCTTAAGATCATCTATCCCATGGAAAGATGGGATTCTGTCCCTTTTATATTGTAAAGCCTGACAAGAATGCTCTTGTTCACTGTTCTTAGAGTCCCACATACCACTAGTTATTCTAAATTGTCATTCTAAATTGACTTCTTATCCTCTGCTTTTTCTATACCTGCCTTCTTAATTTAAAAACGCATAATAAACTGTAGACTTCAGTAATTTTATCTTCATTAATTACTAAAACAGATTAAATTTGACAGGCACAGAGCACAATAAAAATTATTACAGCAAAAAAAGTTTTACTTATATAAAAAATTACCACATGATCTTTTTCTTCAGCTTCAAGAAATTCGTATTTGCTCTCATCTGCAACAAAATCAGCACAAATCAAATCTACGGTAACCTGTTAAAATACATTTTGCAATATGCAGTTTTACAATTTCAATTTATCGATACAGAGTAATTTCTTTGCAGTTCACTATTGTGTCAATCCTATTTCATGGTAAAAGGGATACCAATCTGCTTAATATTCAGGAGATACATGCAAAAGGCACATGATTAATTACTTCATTTAAAAACTGAAACATCTCAGAGAACACAACACTTTTAAAAAATCTTGGTTTACGTTATAACTGCATTACATAACTTTCATATTTTAGATAATGCTGTATCCTTAAGCACAGATTTCTTTCTATAAATTGCCTTCTTTGGGCTATGTTAGAGGTCCTATCGTACTATCGACATCTTCTTTATGAAATCAATGCATTTATTTAATAAATACTGTAATACAGAACACAACCGAAAATCTAACCAATTACTATATGGTCCTCTCCATTTCATTTTAATTTGCTTGCAGTGTCATACCGTCAGGATTGAAGCCTTCTGGAGCGTCAACAGACAGTTCTGCTTCAGAAACCAAGGTGTCCTCTTTACTCTTTTCACAATCTTCACCCTGTAATATAAAAGTAATTGAAATTGAAAACATATTATGGAATTTCATAATGCTTTAATTCTAAACATTCTTGTCTTTTGACCTAAATAACCATTTACTGTATTCAAATAGTTCTTGAAAGTTCTTGATGTCTGTCTTTCTGTACGGTGTTTCTTTATTTGTGTCACCTCATGGGTTTACGTGTTCAGTTTATTCACCTCTTGCACTGATATATCGCTCCTTTTTTTAAGATGAGGCTCCCCTGCAGCAACCAATGGATCACCTAGAAAAGCAGTGAAATAAACTGTTGACAGCAGTTTTTTTTAAAAACAAAAGCACGCTTCATGAACCCCCATGAAAGGGTGCTTACTTGTGTCTTCCACTGAAATAGAGGCCTGCTTTGAGCGCCGTCTTCCTCTTCTCTTGCAGATTGCAGTTTCTGATTCCCCAGACTGCACAAAAAAAAGTTCTTCTTTAAAACCATAGGTCATCTATTTGTGCCCTCCAGTATCATTTGTTTTGCAGAAAAAAACATGTATTAACTTAACCAACTGATTCTCCTTTGAGTCAATATTTGACTTTTTACTTGGGTTCTTTCATAACTGACATATACTTTTTCATGCAATAACATTTTATTCATTTTCTGTGGCTCACTAGGGTGCGTTACCTTGAACGTTAAGAAATGTATTTGCCTTAGTTGGATATTTTCCCATAAAAGACGGGGATCATGGTAATACTTACCTATTAAACAAAAATCTAGATGCAGCATGACTGCTATACAGCAAAACTCAAACATCCACCAAAACATAATAACATTATAATCTGTAAAACACCTGTTGTCACACACTTACAGCAGCTTTCATCTCTGATTCTTTTCTGTCCTCTGCTACCTCCCGATCCTGATTTGTGGACTTACCAGCTGTAGAGATAAAAAATAATTATAAATTTGGTACACAAATTAAGCATATACCTTTTTAAAGCTAGTTATAGGAGAAAGAAAGATGCAATTAAATATTAGTGCTGGATCACAAGCTGTTATAGCACAGTACCTTTCAATTGCAAGGCCAGATGGATCAAATTATTTTTTCAAGGCTACATATCAAGTAAGAGACTCATGATGAAAAAAGTCGATGAACAACACACTGCACCATAACAGTGAGTTATCTGGACAAAACATTTAAACAAATCCCTGGGACATGCTTCTGTCTCTCACAGATGGAACCAAATAAAAGTAATACCTTCATTCTCAGGTGATTGATGCTCTCCAGTTCTCTGTTCCTGGGTATCTTTATTTTCAACCTGACCACAAAAAATACATTATTCAAGACCTTTCTGTTAAAGATGGAACTGTGTGGGTTAGTGACAAAACTTCCTAATGAAAAACAGTGTTCCATTTTATACATCGGCAGGCAAAATACAGACCTGTAATATCGTTTGTGAAGAAATGTTCTCATCTTCATCTGGTTTCTGTTTTTTGTCACTTGGATTTTCTGTCAAATAGAGTTAAAATTGGTATTACTAGTTCTGAAATATGCTGCCTAAACTAAATTTTCTGTCACTCTGATGTGTAAAAGTTTTGTCCTTCACCTTGACTTTGATTCACCTTTTCCTGGTCTATGGCAGGAGTAGCCTTTTCTTCCTATATAAAAGACATTCAAAGACAAAATACAAATTAAAATATTTTAAATTATACTCAGCAGTATACACATTACTGCAGTTAATTCATTGGTTTTACTCCAGAAACAAATCAAACAATCACAATACAAAGAATTTGGTTTGAAACACCTACAACTACTGGTTTGATTCCATTGCCTGTCAGGAACTGACATTACCAAGTTTCAGCTTTTGTTAGTAACACTGCAGTCTGAAGATGAAGTATACTTTAATACATAAATAAAATCACGTTATGACCTAGCCACATGTTTTGCTGCAACAAAAAACAGTATGTAGAACATTAACTGACACATTTTGCCTCCTTCAACCACACAGCTGCAGAATAAGTGTTCACTTACATCATTAGGTGTCACCTTTCTCTGACCTATGTCTGTATCTCCAGGCATCTCAGTGGAACACCCTCCTGATGACACTAAAGTGAAAATATTTTTAAAGCATGGTCAATGAAAAAACATGCAGTCTAAAAGTGCCTTGAATGTTAAGTAAATTCCAAAGTATAATGCCTTTAAAAGAAAACCCAGAGATAACAAAATTACAGAACAATGTGTAGCTCCTTTAGAGATTACGGAGAGACATACAAGGCATTTCTGAATGCATTTCAAAGATGCGGATATGAAGTTTTTAGGTTTCTTTCTTCTGTGAGCTTTAGGCAAGGATTAAACTCTTTTTTCCCCACTATGGACATTAGGGGGACTACGATTTCATGAAGGTTAGGTAAACAGTATAAAGCATACCTATACAAATAAGAATTGCAGGACAGGAACCTCTGGTAAACTAGTCTTCTGGCTAAGTAATGAATAATTGTCTAATATGTGTAAGAAAGCTTCACGGCTGAAACGTTGTGTTTTCTTTCTTCTTTTCAGCATGGAATAAACCTATTATTTGTTCCTTTGCAGCCTACTCATGCTGATGCAGCTACCCACCTGAACTACTTCAACCAACATCTGCTGTGACCCACTATGCCTTCCTCCAAATCTTTTTCTAGATTACACACCTGAAGAAGGCTCCACGGCCAAAACCTTGTGTTTTCTTTCTTCTCTTTTCAGCATGGAATAAACCTATTACTTGTTCCTCATATGTGTAGATTACTTTTACCTATATCCTTTTCCCTGAATAAACTAATTTAAAAAATCTATTCTGATCAACATGAAGCACTTCAATTTACCAATTTTCTTCACAGCTGCAGACAAGGCCTTAGGTGGTCTTCCCCTTCGAGGAGTCACCTTTTCCTTGATAGGATTATTTACTTCCTGTTATTAAAAAGATTTGTTCAGTGTAGTTCATTGTAGTTATATGTAAATAGATCTCAGTTTTCAAACTAAGCCCATATTCAAATGTTTAACTCTTAAACTGCATAAAAAGAACACATTTTTGCAAACTATCCCAAAAGCAGAGGATACAACACACTTTTACATTCTGGAGGAGATGCCAATCCCTCACAAGACATACAAGCAGACAGGAGACAATTGAACTGGTTACCCATGTTACCACAAAAACCATGCAAACTCCACACATACGTTGTCCCAGACTTGAATCAAACCTGGGACCAAAATCTCTGAGGCAGCAGTGATAATCAACGTCACTTGCCCTTCAAAATTCTTTAGAACATAAAAAATATTCCTCTTCTCTTTTTTCTACCTCTGATTTTCAGATTTGAACAAAGCAGGTCAAATGAAAAGTTCAATGTCACTAACCAGCTTGCCTTCACAGGTCGTCTCAGGTGCTGGCTTCTTCTCCGGTACACTCTCACTTACTTTAGTTGCATCTACACAAAAAACAATATCACTTTACAAACTGCGATTCAAAGTGGTATCCATTTCAAAACTGGTTTTAGAGGTACAATTTCATATTTGAATACTGCATGCCCCTATTCACCTGGAGTTTCAGGTGCTTACAGAAAGTTAGTTTTTTTGGTAATACAATCTTGCAAAAACAAAATAACTTTTTATTCTATAAAATGGACCAGAAATCTTAAATACTAGGTCTGAAACCAGTCTCTTTGAAAACTGCAAATCAGAATATCCAATGAAAATTATCATAAATTATCCTAAACACAATGGAATTATTTTAAAATATTTTTAAAAGTAAAACAATGAGTCTATCAAACTTGTTGTCCAATATCAGCAACAGAATGTTCAAGAAATACATTTCTGCCACCAAACAAAAATTAGATGTTTTTAAACCACATGTATGGTTGTATCATTACCTTTACAATCTGCATCTGCTTCTCCTACAGTTTTGTCCACTGCCATTATTGAGGTGTCTATATTTTTGTCTTTGTGATCCTCCTTATTTTCTACATCTTCTCCAGAGCTGACAGCCTTATTGCAAACTTCATTAGATTGATGATGTCCCTGTCCTATTGTGCTTTCCAATTGTTGTACATCACTCAAGATATTTATGTTTCCTGCCTGAGAATTTTCTTGTTGATCGTTATTGTGTGGTACAGGCGACGATATTTCTACAGCAAACCCTGTCTGTGTTGCCTGTAAATCCTGAGATGTGATCTCTGAATCCATTGATAACAATGTCAAGGCAGCTTCTTTCATCTTCATATCAGCCTCTTCAAAAGAAATGTCTTGAACCGTTTCCACAGTTTCCGGCTGTGTAATCCCTTCCAATTCCACTTTGGTCTCACTTTTGAGGTCAGGGTTATTTTCCTCTGCAGAAATCACAACAGAACTTTTTTCTTCTTCTTCACAGGCATTATCCATTTCTTGCTGCTGACCAGTAGCGAGGTCTTTATCTTCAGTCTCCAAAGAAAGTACTGTTGGATATGACACCACATTAGTTGGAACATTTTCTTCATCTTTTGGATTCTCTCTATCGCCCAAAGCATCATTCTCGGTACCAATCTCCATTGGGCACACACGCATTTCTGGCTCCAATACAGTCTGCCTGTGCTCTAGTAGCTCTATCTTGGAACTATCTGTCTCATCTTCCTTGGAATCGTGCTCAGGGGAACATGTCTGCATTTGTGTCTCAACTTCAGGTTCAGGAGTAACATCACTCAGGGCATCAAATGTGTCGTCTGAAACAGCAGTTATTCCTTCTGGCTCTGCACTTTTACCATCTGGAAAATCCATCTGTTCAGAGACAGGTTGGGTTTCATTTTCCAAACTGTTGGTATCAAGAGCCTCATGCTTTTTGCCAAGTTCAGATACATCTGCGTGCTCAATATCAGCATCGACATTTTCATGAGTGAACTGGGAAAGGTCTTCAGCGACAGCAACATTGAGTGGTGTTCTACTGTGATCTTGTCTTACGTTTTCTTTCACTTCAGAGTCGTCAGTTTTCTCATCCCAAGTTTGTGCAATAATGGTTTCATCTGCCTTTTTCTTTTCAAAATCTTTAACACATTTTTTATCAATATTCTTAATATCCTTGCTTTCTTGTGCTTGTGTTTCGTCCTTAGGTTTATCATGTATCTTTTCTTCTGAACTCCTCCTTTCTTCCTTCACACTCCCTTCCCTTTTTCTCTCTCTTGATGAGTCAGACCTGTTTGGTTTTGGAACTTTGCTTTTATGCTCTGTACTCATTGATTTCTTTTCCACCTTGGATGTAGACTGAACTTTGGAATCGTCCCTTGATTTCGATTTTACTAAGGACTTTTCCACTTTAACTTTGGAAGTTGAATCCTTCTGAGCACCAGTGGCTAATTTACTGCTACTCTCACCGTCCGATTCTGCTGTAGCTTTACCCTTAAATCCAGAATCCAGTTCCCTGAATCTACGCTCAGTATCAACGTCCAAACTAGATTTTTCGGTTTTCAAGTCTTGAAGGGTCTGATCTACCTTTGATTTCCGATCAGAACTCATGCTTTCTCTCTCACTTGGTTTGGCTTCTCGGTTTTCATTCTTGGATTTCACTTTTTCCATATACCGGTCATCAGAGTAGCTCTTGGATCTCTTTGTAATGTCTTTGGAATGCTTTTCTTTTTTTCTTCCAATGTCAGTTACAGGCTCTATATCTGATTTGTCTTCAGAGGAACTTTCCAGTTTGGAAAAGGAGTCTAGGAGGAGCTGCTGCTTAGAGTCACACTTTGTTAGTGCTTTCTCACTCCTTACCTTCTCCGTTTTTGAACTGTCACTTAAAGAAACTTTAACCTTCCTTGTGCCATCCTTAGAAGAGCTTTCATCCAAGGTCACTTCTGATATCACAAGCTTTGACTCCTTGACTGAAGACAAACTCTTCTTTTCTGTTTTTCCCTTGCTCTTTCTATCAGACTTATCATCTACAGCTGGCTTAGAAACAGAACTACCATCCTTCTGCAAATGTTCCAGCCCTTTACTTTCCAAACCATGATATTCAATAGGACCTTCAGCTCCTTTCTGTGCTTTATCAATTTTCTGCTTGTGCTTGACTCGGTCATCTGAAAGGCTTCTTTCTCTGTCACTCCTTTCCTTGGAATGTTTCATCTCCTTTTTTCTCCCAGACTCAACATCCGCCTCTCCCATTTCTTTTTTAGGGTGCTTCTCAAGTTTCCCTGCTGTCCTTTGTTTAAACAGCTCCTCCGAACCTTGTTCAAGATCCAAAATGAAAGAGTGGGTCCTGTTTTTATCAGGTACTTTTTTGTGTTCTTTTGCTTCTCCACTTGCAACGGTGTCCTCCGAGACAGAGCTGACCACCTTCTTCCTCCGTGCTTCTGTTCTGCCCTCTTCAGAAGCAGCAGACTCCGAGAGTCTTCTAACCGGCTTCAGCTGCTGGCCCTTCAGAGGACCAGCTTTCAGTTCCTTTGAAGAAGCCATGGCTTCCGGTCCCTGAAAGTAATGGCATTGAAAAATGTGATCCTAGTGACAGAAAATAATTACAGAAACCTAAATATTTTGAGTGTAATTTTTTTTAAACATGGTACAAAGGTCAAGTGTCACAGGATGGATATTATAAAATGCAAACATTGTTTATGATGCTCTTCAATTTACTTTATCAATTTCCTAGATCCACACTTGTGTTTGAGATATTCTTAAAATGACAGAAATTAATCAGGATAAAAAATAATTGTAATCCTTTACAAAATGTCTTCAAAGAAACTGCTGCTTCAGTTTCCATTCAGGATTCTCACAACAAATACTTAGCATAATTATGCATTTAGTAAAGAGAAAAGGCTTTCCATTTCATTTTTAGAAATGTAGCCCTTACAGTTCCAATAGTTAAATGTATTCTTTCAAAGTGTTATTTAATGTTTTTTTTTTTGTTTTAAAAAGCATGAGGTGGAGCAAAGTCGCTGAGATTTTACTCATCATCAGGTCACATGACTTGTAGTACCATGCTTACCACAGTTCTTGGGCAGCACATCCTGGCCCTCCAACACTAGCATCGCGTTGGTGTGACCACATCTTTAGAGGTGGAAACCAAACCTTTCCTATGTTTTCTACATAGAACTTTTTTATACTCTTTTCTGGTACTATTCAAATTCTCTTTGAGATCACTTAGCTCTATTATGCATCTCATTCTGGGATACTATGAGTTTATACTGAGGCTATCATGTCCACGACGGCTCCAGCATCAAAGCGCGGTGATGTTAGTGTGGTTACTGGACACACCTCCTCTCTCCTGTAATTGCCGGTTACCACGGACACAAACAGAAAGCCTGATTACCCACGTGCATTTATAAGAAACCTAGTCGTAGATGGTGCAGATCAGACTGCACTCAGCACGCTAGCACATAGTCGGATCAAGATTCTGTTTTTGAACCTTATTCGCCCTGTTCTTGTGTTCCCTAGTTTGCTTCTCTTGTGTCTGTCTTTCCGTGTTGCTGTCTTCAGTTCCATGTTCCTGACATGTGCCTTGTTTGGGATTCCTGACCTCTCCTTTCTAGATCTGCTCCTGGACTCCTGCAAGGTCTGTGGGTTCCTAGATGTTTCCTTGGCTCTGACCCTGCTTGTTCCTGAGATTATGCTTTTTGGATTTTCCCCTTGTGTTGTGTTACTGAGATTCTCCTGATCTGCCCCTCGCTTTGCTGTAACCCATTATTTTCACAGATCCTTCTTGTTGCTTTTGACAGTAACCCGACTTCCTCAGTTTCGACCAGTACCTGAACGACCACAACTGGAAGAGGGCCACTTGGCAGCACACAGTCTACCTTCATGCTCTTTACAGCTTCAGCCTCTCCTGTTAGTGCAAATGCTACTTAGGCTGGCCCTCACTGTGTGTACAGCACTGCTGCCACCCAGCATTCTGTCCTCATGCCTTACTCCCCAGTTTCCCTTTGCCTCCCTACCTCATCCCTTCATGTACTCCTCATACTTGGGCTACTACTCAAAGATCCACTTCTTTGGTAACAGGGCTTTTTAGTATGCAACATACCTCTCTCTCAACATGGTTTACTCTTCTTGTATTCTAGCTATTCCATCACGAGTAGGGCTTACACCTCTGAACAGACTGCATTTGCTTCCTCCATTACAGAACAATTTATAATTCAGGCTTTTCCTTCTGCCTGTCTCGCTCTTGACAGGCAAGAGCTTTAGGCTCTCACGTGTCCTGGTGATGAGCAAGACTGGGTGGAGAGATGCAAGGTGTATAATGAAGGCATAAATCAGTACAGAAGCCCCAAGAGTTTTAGAAGTTTCTGGGGGCAGATCCATGAATGAGCAAGTGTCTTCCCACGTTTGGGAAGACAGGTACGCAATATGGAAACTGTGTACGTGTGAGTTTTGAAGCTGATAAGGGAAAGGAGGGAAAGGTATGTATCACGGATTGTTCAGACTCCTAGCACCATAAAATATTCCCTGGATATATGGTTCCAATTACTAATTGTTTCCGAATCACCAGTGTTTTCAGTAAATTCAAATTTAGATCACTACAATTCAATCTTGGTAACGTTATTTGGAAGCCTATGCAAATTCAAGGATGTTTAATTCAATATATATATAAAAAAAATCTTACATCAGTCTTCTTTAATGTTTCTTTAGATTCCTCCTCCGGATCACCTTTTTTCTTAATACTACTGCCAAAATCTTCATCTTTCCTGAATGAAAAAATATTAAGGCTGGTTTAAAAATCCTATGACTGTTAAAAAAAAACAGTGACACTCCACTTTAATTATTCATATCTGTAACCTGGAATCTCGTTTCCGCTTCCTGCTGATTGCCACTTTCTTTTCCAGGACCTTCTGCTCTTTCAGTGCCTCTTTAACACTTGGTCCTTCTGGATCACAGACTGGAGAGACTGCATTCCTTTCATCTTTGTTCAAAGTAGAGAACAGATACAATGAACATGGGAAACACTGAATTTGCTTAGTATATTTCTAAAACATACGCAAGGTCCAATGTTGGCGAAAATCAGTTTTAAAACAACTATAACTGTATGTTGTGTTGTACACAAAAAACCTCTTTGGAAAACAGTACCTAGCTGCTCCAGCTGTGCAGATTTCTGTTTGCGCTTCTCTTCTAACCTCTCTCTGTTCTGCTGTCTTTTCAGTAGCCTTTCTTCTTTGTCTTTGGCCTGCAACATGAAATTTAAGTGATTAAAAAATAGCATCAACATTCCTTGATATCAGAGTATAGGTAAAATACAAGATTGCAACTTTCATTCCCAAGAAACAAATTATTTTATACTATGAGCATTTAGGGACAAAATAAAGACACTCATGCATTAAGGACAATTCTTTGTATTATGATCATTTCCTTTATTTTTATATATTCTTTCTTATAGCCAGGCTTAACATATGACGCTTCATAGGCCAAAATGTCTAATTTTATCCCTTTTTACTACTGGTCAGCTTTAAAAGCAGGGTCAAAAACAAAGAAATATTATACAATATAAGGTATCATCAACAGTTGTACTTTCCTGTAACCATTAAACACCATATAATTCTGAGTACCTGAAAGACAAAACTTTAAGAAAAAGTCTGCACGTATCAAGTTAAAACTAATATTCTATACTCTATATACAACCCTAATAACACTAAGAAGTGTTGTCTGTAATGCCTTTAAGACTGATTACCCTAAAAATGTTATAAAGGAACATTAACATGACATACTGCAAATTCAACGTACCACAATTATAGTCAGAAAACCAGCTTTCCTAGATGAATAACTGATATTAGTGTAACTAATTTTAATAAGTCTTTGTTAAAGAATATTGCCTACTGCATCTTCAGAAAGAAGCAAAACAGCCTCCCTCAACTGTGCAGTCATTCTTGCAAGCACTTGATTCAACATAATAGGGCTACTGTGATTTCAAATTAAATCAGTGTTTGAGAAGTACTGAAATAAATGGTTCAGTCACTACCCAACAAATCATTACAAAAGGATTAAGAGAGATCCTTACTGCAGAGCGCCTGCGTTGCTCCACTGTCACTTCATCATCAGAATCACTGTAGTACTTGGAGTAAAGGAAAGGCTTGTGGACGTAGGCTTGCCGGCCTGTTCTGGGTTTGCGCTCTATGGTCTCATCCTTCAGTGCAGTCTCTGCTTTGTGTTCCACTTTCTCCTCATCTTAAATACAAACCAAAACGTCTCTGGTGTGAATAGACATAGCTGTCAAAACCGACTACCCGAGTGATCAGGAATACAATTAAACTGACTTAAATTCCAATGACCCAGTGTGGAGGGACAACTTCTAATAAGTGTATAACCACATCTTAGCAATTTCTATGTTCACTTTTGAAGTTATATATTTTTTTTAAAGTAAGTGTAACCAAGTAGTTCATGCAGTAAAAACCTCTTCCTGAAGTATGGAGGAAGAGCCACTCACTGACCATGGCTGGAGCCCTGAGCTCAAGGTAATGCTATAGAAAACACTTGGCCAGAAATGGTCTAGGTCTTTTCAAATTCTTGTCATGTCGCAGCAACACCTTTAAAGAATCAGGCAGATGCATAACTAAGGGGCTTAAACTGGACCTTCAGACCTGTTATGTCATAGTTCCTTTTTGCAGTGTTATGCAGCCTGACAACATAAAGTCTCTGAAGACAGTGTATTTATCTGTAGTTAAGGTAAATTACCTAATCCGAGTGCATGGGACCAGTAGCAAGATGGAAAAAAAAACATTTTCTACTATTTTAAACCAGGGCATAAATGGTAACAATTTAAAATCCTCAATTAAAACAGTTCAAACAGCATGTTTATTTTCAATGAAACTGCTGAAAATTGGAATTCTGAACAACTACATGACAGGCTACAAATGATATATTAGAGATTTGTTTCTGATATTTTTAGTAATAATTAGCATAAAAAGCTGTATGAAATTTAAATATAGAAGAAGGCTTCGTTGCTGGGGTTCTTGAAAAAGTTCAACCCTTAGTGTACCCTCAGAAGTAATCTCCCCTTCCTCTGTAGAGTCAGAAAGCTGGGGCTCTTCCTCACTCTCCTCTTCAAAACAGGACAGGTCACTGGTGTGGACGGAGCTGACAGAGATGTCACTCAGGCCTTCTAGGTCAGAGTCTTCTAGGGAATATTCTGAAACAAACAAAAGCACACACTCAGTTCTTGTCCAGTACCAACTCTCAAAGAAACAAACATCATCTTTGGGATGTTATTTGGAGAACCTGAAACAAAAACTGAGTTAAGTATAGGAAGAGGAGGCAATGACTTTACTATATGTACTGTATGTTATTGAGGTATTATTTTAATTTCTGAATTAATTAGCCTAAAATGATTAATGAATGAGGTTTTAAATCATGATTTAAATAGCTTTAAATTGGCTATTTAAAGTAATAGGGTAAAGCAGGACATTTAGATCAACTTGTACGTGAGAGGAAAAAATAACCACAATTAAAGAGTTTTACCTTCTTTCAGCCTCTCTCTGGCTTTCTGTCGTATATGATGTTTGTCAGTGGGAGTCTGTTCAGCCTCTCCATCCTTTTCCTTTGCTGCGGTTTCATCTTTTCCTTTCAGGGACTCCTTTGTTTTTTCATTAACCTTTTCTTTGCTTTCATCTGGCTTGCTTTCCTCAGCATCATCACTTGGCTCTTTGAACTCCTCAGTGGTTTCTTTGCTCAGTTCCATCTGCTCGTTGGGCTCCTCTGCTGTATTCTCAGCATCCTGGGGCTCAAGCATAGCAGCTTCCAGGTTTTCTTCCTCTGCGGTGCACATCTCTTCATCACCGACTTCTCCGCTCAGTTTCTCTTTGCCCACTGCATCATCAGGAGACTTCTCCTTCTCTAAACCTCCATCAGTAGCAGGCTGAGAAATGGTTCTCCTGACTGTTCTGTCCCCAGATTTCCCAGCTGAAATGTCATTTGATGCCCAAGCAGCACTTGCCTCCTGGTTCAGAGACGTAATTGTATCCAGAATGGACATAGCATCACTGGCTACTGACGTGTTGGGGACAGAGGACATGCCTGAAAAAGAAATTAAACACACATTAAACACCAAATGTTATTGACTGTAAAATGATTATGAAGGAAAGGATGGATTTTTTACCCAAATTGTGGGATTTATATTATTTTACATTTCCAAACAAACAATGTGTTGTCTATTTATTCAGCAACAACTATTTAAATATATCACGATGTACCTCCCATTATATTTATGACCCCTCAAGAATATATTTTTCATCCATTTTCAACATCATATAACAATCAACAAAACATTAAACATACCTGTAGTTGGAATGTAATACTCTTGCTTTTCTTCTGCTTGGACAGAACAAACTGGTGGCTCCTCCTTCTGGTTTATAGAACCAAGAAAATCACACACTACTCGTTCCACTTGAGGCCTGAAGGTGTGGTGAATTTTAGGATCTACAACCTGTGTGACTATTCTATCAACTCCCGCCTCCAACATCCCCGATCTGAAACAAAGAGAAAAAGGTGCCGTCAAAAAAAGTCAACATGAGAACAGTGCTTCCAGAGTTTTCTCAAGTCACTCAGGCCGACAGAACAAAACATCATTACATACTAGTTCCACGGCAAAATCTCCTACTCCCGATGGGAATGCATTCTGTAACAGATCATATATCTCATTTCTAAACAAAGTAGAAAAAATACAGAAAAAGCAGGAGGCCCTTGTGCAGTGATTCCTAGTAAAATGAAAGTGCCATCCCATCTCAAAAGGATATCTATATAAAAAGGTGCTGAATACTTTGTGTTTCTAAACATAGAAAATTACACACGTGTATATATGCCAACATAAAGACACAAAGGGACATGAGTACACTTTATATTTTTTTACCTTTTACCATTAAAATGTCACGAAAAGATGGAAAATGGCATCCTTTTGTTTGTCATCTCAGTTAAAACACATTCAGAAATTGCTGCCAGAAACTTTGCATCTAAGAACTTAAACTGACTTTCTTACTTTTGCCGTTACGACAGTTAGGATAACAGCGAAACTGAATTTCAGCCATTAAAGTGAGCGCATATGTAAACAAAGGTGTGAGCGTTGATAAACTTACTGTAACACAAGCTGCCTGATGCTGTTCCTCAGCTGATTCTTGTTCAGATGCGGGCTCCATGTGTGATTCGATAGGTGGTTAGACACAAAGTTATCCACTCGCTGTCTTAAGTTCAGGTAAGCAGGCTGGGCGAAAAGTTTTTGTTGTTAAAATTCGAACTTTACTAAATCTGATATCGTACATAAATGGGGGAAGAACACACTTAAGAGAGACGCAGGAAACGTGAACGAAACCTTGAAACCCCAGAATAGACATACACATCACTAGCTTACAGATGTCAGCAGGTGAAGGAAGATGAATACGTGACAGCGGCGGTAAAATACACAGTGATAGGAACTTCACACGAAACTTCATATTTAAATACAAACACCAGTCAAAACGTCGCTTTTAACGAGAGATATGCGTTAATATGAAACATTTTGCTTTAATGCTATAAATTTCGACGGTATAGCTTAAATCATACCTTTGTGTCCACATCTGCCAAACAATCCCTTCTGAACTGATCAAAAAGCCCTTGTGTTTTTAAATGATTAACAATCATAGAGACCAATTTGGGGTCTCCGGGTGGTAAACCAGACATTTAAAATCCTGAGCGAAGACTTCAAATAAATAAAAAAACCAAACCTTAAATGATAAAACACTAGGTTTGCTTCATGTAATATTACTACTTGTTCACAGTTATTATGCTTCTTGTGCCCTGTGAACTCTGTAACCCGGAAGCTGAAGAGTAAAAGAGTAAACGACATTTTTTTTGGGGGGGGGGTGACAGATACTACTAGCACATTATGGATAAGCTTTTCAAATAGCGAACTCTAACGGTAATGTAAATTATTACATCATCATCTGAAGAAGTTTTGATTAAACCCTTTTCATTAAACAAAAAAAATAATGACTAGTTATATTTCCTGTAAGAGACATTTTCTGTAATGTAAATGTCTTTATTGGGAAAGGAAAACGACTTGCTTCCTGAAAACACTGCTAATTTATGAGGCTTTTTCAAATATGAAGACTTTATCTTTACAGTTTATTGGAAGCAAAACGCCCTGCAATTCTAGTTTTTTTTTATCGTGCATAAAAATAAGCAGTTGCCTTAAGACAAAATTTGAACTTTATCGGGTGGTGAGTGCTATTGCATAAAACAACAACTAACACAGTTTTAGAATTTCATTTATTCGCGTGCTAGTATAATATAAGCGCATCTCATACGTATTTTTTTCCAGATGAAGATAACGACGATTATGGTAATAGTCTTTGCAAGCCAGGGATAATGGACTGATGCCACAGAGAATATGTTTTGGTATCAGATATAATCACTGATATTATATTGTAAATACGTTTTAATTCTGAAAATAATATCTACGTTATCAATGCTTTCAAGCGGTGTTGAACTTTATGTCGGCAATAAATCTCTGGCAAAGTTTGCAGCTTCTGTGTTTCATGTGAGACAATAAATCAAAATATGAAGGAAACTTAAATTGCTTAAGTTTCACTAAAAGTAGGCAAGAGCATTTGTGGTCACATCTCAGTGTGCCTTTGTAAAGAGCTTTATCGTTTGCAGACAGTTGGCAAACAGTTGCAAGCAGACTGAAATTTTAGCAGGGCCACATATCAATGCCAAATAAACATTCTTCTGTTCTGCGCACACAAAGCCTTTCGTGATGACACCTAAATTCTCTGCTGTCGGTATGATAAACCTTTAAATGATTATATATTTATGAACACAAATCATTGAACAAGTACCGTGCCTTGGTCCTCACAGAGAGTAGCCCTTGTTTAAAGTTTATGGACCGAGAAGAAAACAGGTAATTCGCTTCTTTCTAAAAGCTCAATATGCTGACAATGTAATGCTGTCCTGGAAAAGACCTAGGTAAGATTTAGTACAAAATAATGCCTGTTTATCCATTTTTAGTGTGCTCTTCCCAGCAGGTTTACATACATGCATGTCTTGATTTCATATACACCCACAGAATATGATAATTTTACTTTAAACTCTTTAAAAAATTTACACTGTTCATAGAGGGTACCTTAGTTTAGGATGTCATTTAACTAAGTAAACACTAGGTGTCACTATTTCCCATGACAACATTTCAAACACTTCTAAGGATTATGATGACAAAAATAGATATCTTTAATTGACCTGGCTTGAAACCTACTAGCTATGCAACAGTTTTTTTTTTAATCTGTTACTATGATGTGTTTATTTTTATATTAAATATGACATATTTTAAGTATCAAATATTGTTAATATAGAGTTTCCTTTTTGAGAATTTGATAAAAAAGAAACCAGATACAGGAGTACAGAAATATTACAAATTATATAAAATGTTCTTAAATAATATTCTGTGATATGGTGTCTGCATTCTTAAATTATCTTATTAAGTAGGGTCCCAGTGCTACAAGGCATCAATGCTGATCACGTTTGCCACCAAGCCACTTCTGATAGGTCTTTAAAAGCATTACTTAAAAAATAAAGAATCAATAAAATAAAAAACTTATAAAGTCAAAATGATAATATAAAAAAATGTGCATTTATGATATGTTAAAATATATTGTGATCTTTTCCTTTTGATTATTTTTAAGTTAAAGTTTCTTAACACATCCAAAGAGATAAACATCCATTACTGATTAATATTTTTTCTAAAAATATGTGTATACTGTACTTTTTAAAAAACAAGCATTTCTCATCCAGCAAAGAAATAATAGGCATTTTTAAAATATGTATTCCCAATGTGACACATATATATTTATAATAAACAATTATAAATATAATTGTTTATTATATAAACAAATATAATTGTTGACACCTGAAGAAGGCTCCACGGCCGAAACGTTGTGTTCTCTTTCTTCTTTTTTTCAGCATGGAATAAACCTATTACTTGTTCCTTTGCAGCCTACGCATGCTGACGCAGCTACCCACCTGAACTACTACTTTATAATAAACATATACCTTGGTTTAAATGAAGCACTTGTACAGGCAAACATCATAAAATACATTTCCTAAAGGAGTATATTATGTTGATATACCTATTATTTAAAAGTAAAGTAGGTATTGTATGTGTATTTTCTTAGTTCGTCAAAGTAAAGTTGTTAGAGCAATTTAAAATGTGATTTTTCAGTTAAATAAAAAAACTTTTTTAAACAGGTGAAGATACATTTCTTAATATATTACCAATTCTAAATAAAAGAGTTATGACATGTGAACTATACATTTGCTGTCAGAAGCCTGTGTTAGTACATCATTAAACTGCCAATTCAAAAAGCTCTTAAAATGATAAAAGATGAAAAAATACTGTAAGTTAAAAGGGAAGTACCCTTGTGACATACCAATAAATATGATTTATATATTCTCCCTTAGAAATATTGCTTGTTCCTAGGAATGCAATTATTTCAATATAATGAAAATCACTGCTCATTTAATAGACTATAAAAAGAAATAAAAAGTGAAACTTTTAGACACATGCATGTTAAAGTGTGTGGTGTAAGTTACAGTAGGTATCAAAAGACTTTGTGAATGTTTAACAGAATTGGCTCGACTGACTATCAAACTGTCTTCATCCATTGAAGTATAGTTCTGTTATTACTTTTTACTTTCAACAATATTTTTTCTTCTCCAAGAAGAAAAAAACTAATGAAAAAAGAATCTGTCACTTCTGTGTCTCAAAGATGAATGTTGTTAAAATGTACAATTGAAAAATGTTTCCAGGTTTGCATTACTCACTATCTCATAGCTCAGCATTGATATAATTTTATTTAAGATTTCTCTTGTTCTAAATAAAACTGTTTTAAAAAAAGGAAAACACGAATTCATAATCCTGCATTTTGTAGTTGTATTAATAATATACAATAAATCTTATATGTGGTCTTTCATTATCTTCTGTTTAAACCAACAAGGTCCTTTATACTGTACTGTACATACAATATTTATTTGCCATGATTTAAATACATATGATTTATTTAATAAATATATTTATTTTATTTAAAATATTATTTAAATATAAATAAAGGGCAATTTGTATTTATATATCTAGAATGGTCCTCTTCTTAGATTATTGGAAACAGAAGGTTTAACAAAAATTCAGTACTAATGTTGTTGACTAATAAAGTTAAAAGACAAATTTCTAATACAAGAAATTGTAAATGGACAATAAAGTGATCTTATCTTATCTGTAATATTTTTTTTCATTTACTATATAGGAACATTGAAGCAGTTTGCAAACTGCTGTAAATTCAGATTCTTTCAAATTATGATTTCAGACTTGTTTCTCAAGATATGTTTATTTTAAACCTTAAATTGTTTGCTAAAATAATACCAGCTTCAGAGAAATGTTTGACTTGTTTGAAACCTGGATTGGTCTTTGTAACTTGGATTCAGCAGTTCTATCACTGGGCTATACCCCTCCAAGAACTGAGTGCAGACTTATGAAACTGAATCCATAAGTTATAGAGAGGATCCTCATAGATTCCGATGTGATGTTGATAGAAAATGTACTGTAACTTGGCGTAGTTCTTAATATTGACTAAAATACAGAATATCGGAAGAAACATCATTACGGGATGAGTGTTACATTTCTACTTATAAATTGCTGTAAAAAAGGCATTGCCTGATTGTTAGAAAAATGTGGTATGATTTTTTAATTAGCTGTATACGAAAAGTTCTCGTGCTACCCCATTTAGATCCTTATATGCCCCTGCAGGGGGGTGCACCACAACAGATGAGAAGGTCACACCTCAAGGCCTGGGATCTGAACCAAGATGGTCTGCTCAAGATAAGTTCTTTGACTATATCACAAAACTTTATCCATTGTTTGTATATGGGATGAGCTTTATCAGCACTGAAATTATCATTTATTGTGATAAGAATAGAGCCAGAACAGTAATTTTCTACTGGAGAATTGAAGAATTCAGCATTCACAAGAACGAGCCGAAAATATCCTCACTCAATAGGTAGAATGGCTTGCACTTACTAGGTAATGTTTCTAATTCGGGAGAACATCTCTTTTAATTTGTTTGAGTATCGCTGCATAATCTATAATTAATCAAGAAATCCCTTCCATCTCCACACCTTGAATGAGTGTGGTGTTAGATATGTACTTGCAGGTGATTCAGCGAGCTCTGTTGCAGGGGAAAGTGCCCGGTGTGGATGATTGCTGAGGGCGGTCAAAGGAGCTGTGAACTGCCAAAACATTGTGTTTCTTTTCTTCTCTTTCAGCATGAAATTAACCTTTTGTTGTGTAGTTAGCTCGTTTGCCAGGCCTAACGGTGTGGAAATGTGCTGCTGAGAAACAGGAATGGCTTGCTGAGCCAGACTGACAGGAGGTGCTGTTATCTGAGCGTCAATGCCTGGCAAGGTAGCAGCATAGCTTTTCACCACAGGAAAGAAACCAGGACAGAAATAAATTAGACAGCACAGTGGATGAGTTGTCAGATCACCTTGTGCCCTGTGTTGGACCAGGTGCAGTCATATGCACTTCTATCCTGGAGTCCTTGCACTGTCTTCCTGTCAAATTCCATGTGGACTTTAAAATCCTCATGCTCACCTATAAGACTCTGCATGGCTTGGCACCTCAGTACCTGTCTGAACTATTATCGCCCTACTCCCCACCTCGCAACCTTCTCTCTTCTAATTCTGGTCTCCTAACTGTCCCCTAAGCCCGTCTACATTGTAGGGGTGACAGGGCCTTCTCATGTTACACCCTCA